GGGTGTGTACGACATCAGTAATGTTATGTCAATTCCAAGAATGTTTAAGGTTATATCGGTTGATGAGGAATTTATTGATTATTCCTATAATAGTAAATTGCATCAATTTATTTTGCAAAAACAAGGTTTCCAGCTTCAGAGGGGACACATCCCCTGTCCGCACAAGGGCACGCATTGGCGCTAACACCAGGTGCGTAACAGGGGTCTTGGGTCAGATTGGGTATTTATTTTTCCGGTTAGTAATTTACCATACCCACCCCACCCCACTTCCCATATAGAAAACAATACGACATAGGGCTTACCTTATTTATAATATAGGCCACACGTGTGTTTGACACTAAATATAAGCATTTTCATCATGGTTTTATTTACTTTATTTACATACTCTTTCACCATCAATACACATTGAGGCCCTTCTTTTAGGTTAAAACGATCTATCTTAAATATGTCTTTCTTGAGTTTGGGACTATTATGTGTTTAAATAACTTAAAAGGATAAACCTAAAAAAGCCCTAAAAAATGCGCGTGAAGCACGCAAAATATTTTTGTGTTTTTAATTCTAATTTCGTCGGAATTGATGAAACCTCTTTAAAATGTGCAATTTATAGAGGAAATTGGCCTACCATAACAAGAAATGCACGCAAAGAATTTGAGAATTTTAGGCACTTTCAGAGGATGCATTTGTCATTTCATTTTTATTCTTGTCTTTATTTTTCTCTTCTCTTTTTCCTTTTCTTTTCCTCTTCTTTCTCTCCCTCTCCCCTCTTTCTTTTCTCTTATTACCCAGCCCGGTACGACGGCTTGGCCCCCCCCCCCCCGCGGCTGTTACAACACTGGCTAACACGCCAATCATCCCCCCAATGAAAAATACTTTTCTACGCCACTGTTTGTAATAGCTCTCTGTTATATTTTGTTAAAAAACTGAGCTGTCGTATTTTGTAATAACACATCAAATGCCTGTTTTCATCTATACTTTCGCAGTCTTTGAGGGATTAAATAAAAACATGTTAATGATAAAGGAGAATATGTATTAAATGACCTAAAGAGTGAATATACCAATCCACAAGAATAGTGTTGAATATTTCGCCGTATCAACGACACATCAGCAACTGAGGCAGGAATTAGGCAGGCCAGATCTTATATACTGTGCTAATAAGCTAACAGGTGTTGGAAAGTATTGAGAAGAAAAAAAAATCAGGTAATAAGGAAAGTGTCACTAAGCTCATTCTTACGGTTTATAGAGGGCCTAATGCGATTGATACATTGTGCTTCCAACACACGAAGGCGAAATTCATCTTTAGGCGCTCTCCTGACGATGGAAACCAAGATATCAGGGTCTTTCACGGCAGGATGAGATTCACCAAAGTGCGTGCCGAGCGCAGAGGTGGTGCTGTGTTTACGAGCCGAAGCGAGATATTCAATCACCCTAAAGTGAAGCGCCCTAATAGTGGAACCAACATATTCTTGATGACAAATCTGGCAATGAATCTTATAAACCACGTAAGAAGATGAGCAGATGTTGTTTTTTAAAGGACATCTAGCAAGGATACATCCAAAATTAGGCTTACAAGCTTTAGTAAATTGAGAAATGGTGTATGGACGGGGATTAACCACTCTAGCATTGATGTTATTTCGCTTAAGGGCTAACCGTATCTGGGTATTAAGTTGATCGCTGACAAAGGGAATTTTAAAGGTGGTTTATTCGCATTGTGAGCGGGAGGGTTCAACCAGTGGCGGGGATATCCAACCAGTGGCGGGGATATCCATTGTTCATAAGTTTATGGTTTAAAATCCCAATCCCTTCGTCCACAAATTCTGCTGTACATAATTTACCAATTTTGTATTCATTGGTAACCACTGATTTTTTAATAGAAAGGGAATGGTGCGATTTGTAATGCAGAATGATACCATTGTTGGCCGCTTTAGTGTAAAATTTGGTGGAAATCAATCCATCTGAATTGATCCTAAGTTTAACATCGAGTATTGGTAGGAATCCATCTGCATCAGGTAATTCCATCTCAAACTTGATGGTGGG